TTTGAGAAGGAGAGAGAGAGTGCACAAATAAGGGAAGGGCAGAGAGAGAGAGAGGGAGGCACAGAATCTGAAGTAGGTTCCAGGCTCTGAGCTGTCAGCCCAGAGCCTGACATGGGGCTCAAACCCATAAACCATAAGATCATAACTTGAGCTGAAGTGGGATGCTAAATCAACTGAGCCACCCAGGTGTCCCTGGACAGCTTTACTTCTATAGGAAATATTACTCTGTACATTTTGTCTGGGCAGCAAAAACAGTGTTTTCATAAGCGTTTGGGCTGGGGCTTAAATATAAGTAAGGGAGCACAGAAGAAAGAAAGAGAAAAATCACTTTGCAGCAAAGAGGAGTAGATTTCACTTGCCACCTATATTCTTTTAAGTCGCACAAGACAGGTTGGGTTTGCCCCCTCAGAAGACAACTTGATGGTTTCATTAGGAAACACATGTATGTAGGCCACTGGGGGAGATAAAGCTCAGTTAATCCTAGCTGTTTGTGAATGAAATGTGGAGGACTTTAACACACAGACCAATCCCAAACGGAATGTAGTCCCTCCTGAGCCACATAAATCCCGGAGGCTACAGATGCTGGCACATCGGAATCTATGTACCCAGGCCCACAGTCAGCTCCCCAGGCTGCCTTGCCTCTCTGATGCTGCAGCATAAGACTGGCAAGCCCAGCAGAGGGTTGGGGACATCGGGAGTGAGAGCAGCACCAAGCGAGAGCAGAGGGCTGGAGGTTAACAAAAAAGGTTTCTAGTGAGGGGGCCCAGGCTGCCCCAAGTGTGTAGGGACTTTCACTTGGTAAAAAGGAACCTCTTTGCCCTCTCAGTTTGAATGTAACCTATGGTCCCAAAGGGGCCAAGACCCACTTCTACTCAGGGAACGTGCAGCATTCCCAGGCCAAGGGGAATAGAGAGCCAGAGTAGCCACCCTACTCCTTAAATGAACTGAAGTCTCCACAATGCTAAAGACACTATGGAAAGTACCATGACCTAAAAGACATGCCTTCTGCTCTCCAAGAATTCACAGTCCGGTAAAGGAGAGGTCAATAGACTCACTTTCATTCTTATCTCTTACACAAAGTCCTAGTGGGGTTCCATTTACCAAATGTTTGAAGCTGCAAAGCTCACAAGTTCACCTGGGAGCGTGCGGCTGAGAAGAGAATGAAGTTCTAAACATGTATGAGGATAAGAGCATATCCCAGATACACCCATGTAGTAAATTGGATCATTGTCAGTAACTCTATTCTCTCCTTGTATTAGAATACTCATGCCCTTTGCTATGTGCCTTTACAGTTATCACCACTAAATGTGGAGAATATTTTCCTGTTCTATGGAAATTACCACTTAGTAAGACATGGCTTTGCAAAACCAACAATCCAGGCATTACTTTCCTTTAGATGCTTATAGGTAGCTACGTTCCCATGATCCAAACCACCTTAATTCTCTTTTCCTTCTTCAAAGTTCTTATCTTACATCCCTTAAATTTATTTGGTCATCTTCTCTGGGATTCTTAAATAGCACTTTCTTCATAGCTTTTTCCTTACTAATATAACTTTAGGCAATTCACCTAATTTGGGGGTCAATTTTAACAACTGTGAAAAAAGGAAATGGGATTTCCTGATCTTAGGACCCCTCTCTGCCCTAATACTCACAGAAACAGATGTTTTCAACTTTTTATTGTTATCAGGCCACTGATGAAAAGTAAATGAAAATGCAGGTACTTAAACTTTGCTTCCATAGATTTTAAGTTAGCAGATTTGGGATGGGACCCCAGCAAATGGTCTAATGCACAGCAAAGGTTATTCTATAAGCTCTATTGTTTTTAATCCAGAACCATTACTGTCATGAAATAAAATGAGTTTTAAATAAGAGCAAAAGGGAGGCACCTAGGTGACTCAGTTGGTTAAGCGTCAGACTTCGGCTCAGGTCATGATCTCACATTCGTTGAGTTTGAGCCCCTCCTCGGAGCTTTCTGCTATCAGCAAGAGCCTGCTTAGGATGCTCTGTCTCCCTTGATCTCTACCCCTGCCCTGATTGTGCTTTTTCCTCTCTCTTTAAAAAAGTAAACAAACATTAGAAAAGAAAGAGCAAGAGCAAAAGGAATGAACTTCCCAGTTGACCTAAATGATGATCTTCAGTTAGAGGGGAATTGAGACAGTGAGAATCTAGCTGGATGAGATAGTGCTCTGAGGAAATTCAGAAGTGTCCAGCTCTACATAGAAACTTTCCATATTTGGGGCACCTGGGTGCCTCAGTCTGTTAAACATCCAACTCTTGATCTCAGCTCAGTTCATGATCTCACGGTTCGTGGGATCAAGCCCTGGGTCGGGCTCTGTTCTGACAGCATAGATTCCCTTTCCTCTTTCTGCCCCTCCACCACTTGCACTCATGAGCTCTCTCTCTCTCTCTCTCTCAATAAATAAACTTAAAAAAATTAAAAAACCAAAACAGTTAATTGTTTTCAAGTTTTGGGGATGAAAAGGCTTTTATCTAAAAACAAGCTATCAAATCTAACAGGAGTCTTAAAATATAGGTTCTTTGTATAGATATTTATGTGTGTTTATATGCATGTGTTGCATATATTCAACATTACATGTTGAATCTATATGACAGATTAAACTGTATTTCAAAATAAGAAACTAATGATTGACACCCTAGTCATAACTTAGTGCTTGAAAATTGCACTGTATGAACATTTAAAATGTATTTCTTGCAATCTCTGGCCTTAGGATTATCATCTTTAAGGGTGTACAGAATATAATGATTTTGAGTTTTTTAGGACATCTGAAGATGTTAAACAGATTTTCTATGGGACCATCTCCTTCATTCACCCCTTGTCTAAAATCCTTTACTGCAAAAGTATCTGCCATGGGAGAGAATATAGGGAGCCAGATCCTAAAGAAGCAGGCAGGAAGTCTGAGAAAACACACCAAGTCTGAGTTGGAGGATCGCCATTCCATCTGGAAGCCAATTGGATAATAATATACATACATTGTCATCTTTTGTGTCCTCCCCATCCAGCAGGAAATAAGAGCACTTTCCTCAGCCCTAGTGTTTCACGTATATCCTACACCTTTCCCATTTTTAGTAGACTCTATTACTTCTTTGCAGTGAAAAACTGCTTCCTTGGGGTAAAGGTATCAGGACTCAGAGAAATTTCACTGATCCCTCCTACGCCAAATATTGAGTTGTGCTTTGAAAGTCATTTTATACAAAAGTGCAGTGTGACTGGACTTAAGCCCATGCCTGTTACCCTTCCTTCCAGGGCTGGGGCCACCAGCTACCCAACCACCTTGGTTGCTTTAGAATTAAAAGCTTATCATGGTGTGATTTATGTAATACACATATGTGCTTTGATCCTTATGGATAATTAAGGCTGTATTATACACCTAAAATGAGTTAGTAACCTTTTTACAGCTGTAGTTTCAAAAGGGTGACAATGACTTACCCATTGTGCTTTGGGTACATTTATATGAATCACTCCCAACTACTGTGTCTCCTAATACTGACCCCTGAGCTAATTAGCAGCCTGGTGTGATTGTTTCTATTTTGTAGCAACCAATTAGGTAGTTGCTCTGGACAGAACTGACAACAAAATGTAAATTTAAGGACAGAAACCAAATCTGTTGGTCTAGAGGAGAAAGCCAAGGCCAGATAAGGGAAGTGAAAATGAGGTGAGGTTGTGAGCAGGTTTTCTTTCTGTTAGTAGAATACTGGGCCTCCTTAAATTCAGATTCAGACCAAGGTGCCCCATTAGCAAATAAATAAGCAAACACATAAATAAATACACACATAAGCAAACAAACAGATAATTTTTAAAAATAGCAGAGCATTTGTGCTGGGAGAAGCAAGACCTTAAGTCATGGCCACCCACCTGCTCACTGGGAGGCACATCCTAGGTATAGACTTGTGCCCACACCCCTTCCTCAGAAGCAGCTTCACATCTGCATTTAAGCTTCAGCCTAAACGGACTCTCATCAAGCCTTCCTCACCCCAGCATCTGACCCATGGAGGCACCCCATCTCAGCCATTCAGTCCTCTCCAAGGGAGATTTAAAAGTGTCCTATTGTCATTCCCACTCCCTTTCCCCCCAACAGCATCTCCGTTTAGACAGGGAATTTCGGTCGACTCCCGGAAGACTGAGCAAAAAGGTGAGGGACGCAGGTAGAGAAGCCACACGACCAACTCGCTCCATTTCCCACTCACCCACGCGTCTTCTCCCGGACCCCCCTCCTTTCGCAGGGGACTGGCAGTCAGGTGAGGTTACCTGTGCGCCTAGAGATGCCCCGAGGGGCGCTGCCATCCTTCCTCCCGAAGTCACCCCACTCCCCGCGGGGCCCCCAGGACTTTGCCCCCCTCTCCCCGTGCGCGCGTCCCCTGCCCCTCGGGCTCCGGCGCGCAGCGACAGACACACGCCGCGCTCTCGGCTCCCCTCCGCCGACCTGGCGTGACGCAGGCAGAGACTACTTAAGGGCGGATTAGAGGCGGCGGCCGCGGATTCCCGAGCCCGTCAGCCAGCTCCGCGCGCTGCGCCCGGGCCTCGCAGGAGGCGGCACAGGGGCGCCCGGCGCCTGCAGAAGTGCCTGACGCGGGGGCTGGTGCCCGGACCTTTCCCTGGCCCCCATCCCGAGGGTGAGACCTCTCTCCGGAGCCTGAGAGCTCACCGACCTGCACGCTGCCACCCCCGCCCCGCCCCTCTCCTGGGCATCCGTGGGCTCCAGACCCGATCCCCGGACGGCGCGGGAGGTTGGTGCCCGCTCTCCCGATCGCGCCAGCTGCCCCATCAGTTGGGGTGAGCTACGATTTCTTTTCTCATTTCCCTCTTTTAAGTGCAATAAAAGGGAGAAGGGATTCCTGGATTTTTTTTTTTTTTTTTTTTGTTTGCTTCCTTAATTGGGGGACAAGCGCTCCCAGTCGGGAGGTGCGGCCCAGGGAGGGGCCGGGAGCGGGAACGTGCCCGGTGCTGCCCAGTCTTTGTCTGCTGCCTCCGGATGCACAGCGATGGGGGAATGGACCATCTTGGAGAGGCTGCTGGAAGCCGCGGTGCAGCAGCACTCCACTATGATCGGGAGGTAAGGGCGCCGAGCCGACTGTCAGCGGGCCCCGTCGGGCGACCCCCCGGGAGTCCCTTCTCACGTCCAGACCGAGCCTCAGCAGCCCCCAGCCCATCATCCTCGGTCCGTGTGCCTGTGTCCCCTGGTAATTGTGCACCCGATGCCGAAGCCCAGGGATGTCCCCCTCCCCCAGCCGCTCCAGATCAGCTCTCTATCCCTTCCCCCTGAAGCACCATTGGGGGGTTGACTCTTCTCCCATTAGAAAAAGAGTTGTTGGCTCAGTCGTGGTACCCCCACTCTCTGGAGTCAGAGCCAATCTCCATCCGGTTCCCTAAATAGAATCTACAAGGAAGGCAGGATTGTGTTTGGACAGAGAAGGGCAAATGGGGAGATGGATCTGCTCTTTGGAACAGATGTATCTTTTCCCAAGAAATATATTTATTAAGCTAAATTGATTTGGCTGTTAAAACTTACAGTATCAGACACCCACACTCCCAATTGATACTTTTATGTCTTCATGTATATATTCATGTGTATATACACTGTAAATATCTGTGTATATATGTGGATATATATTCATAGCTATCTGTTTATATGACATTAAGTTCAGAGTTTATACTGAGGATAAATTAAATATCCACTTGAAATAGTTACATGCACACTCTGTGTGTAGACTTTGAAACAGGTTCTCTCTGTTTAGATATTCCATGTGCATTTGCCATATCCAGAGTGAAGGTGTGGTTTTTTTTTTGCCTCTGTGCATACCATATATGCAGACGAAATCTGTTTGTTGCAAATACATCATGTCCAATAATGGATATATGTATATGTATATATATATGTATATATTTGAGATCCTTGTAATATGAAGTGTCCCCAGTCTATCAGCAACCTGCAGAGAGGAAAGAGCCAGAAAAGATTTCCTAGTTTCCCAGGTCAGAACCACTAGGGCTGGACAGCTCCCCAGTCAAAGGACTGGCAGATCCCAACCAGAGCAGGGAAAGGAGGAGCAGGGGTTTCCAAGTCAGGGACTCAACCCTTGAGAACCTCTCTCCCTCCCTCTCCTCTTGCTCAGGATCCTGTTGACTGTGGTGGTGATCTTCCGGATCCTCATTGTGGCCATTGTGGGGGAGACGGTGTACGATGATGAGCAGACCATGTTTGTGTGCAACACCCTGCAGCCCGGCTGTAACCAGGCCTGCTATGACCGCGCCTTCCCCATCTCCCACATTCGTTATTGGGTCTTCCAGATCATAATGGTGTGTACCCCGAGTCTCTGCTTCATCACCTACTCTGTGCACCAGTCTGCCAAACAGCGAGAACGCCGCTACTCTACTGTCTTCCTAACCCTGGACAGGGAGCCCCCTGAGTCCATGGGGGGTCCTGGAGGAACTGGGGGTGGAGGCAGTGGTGGTGGCAAACGAGATGATAAGAAATTGCAAAATGCCATTGTCAATGGGGTCCTGCAGAACACAGAAAACACCAGCAAGGAGACGGAGCCAGACTGTTTAGAGGTTAAGGAGCTGACCCCACACCCATCAGGGCTGCGCACTGCTGCACGATCCAAGCTCCGAAGGCAGGAAGGCATCTCCCGCTTCTACATTATACAAGTGGTGTTCAGGAATGCCCTGGAGATTGGGTTTCTGGTAGGCCAATACTTTCTCTATGGCTTCAGTGTCCCAGGGTTGTATGAGTGTGACCGCTACCCCTGCATCAAGGAGGTGGAATGTTATGTGTCCCGGCCTACTGAGAAGACTGTCTTTTTAGTGTTCATGTTTGCTGTGAGTGGCATCTGCGTTGTGCTCAACCTGGCTGAACTCAACCACCTGGGATGGCGCAAGATCAAGTTGGCTGTGCGAGGGGCCCAGGCCAAAAGAAAGTCAGTCTATGAGATCCGCAACAAGGACCTGCCCCGGGTCAGTGTTCCCAATTTTGGCAGGACTCAGTCCAGTGACTCTGCCTATGTGTGAAGGGGCAGCTTTGGGGAAGGCCTAGGGAACGAAAAGTAGCCCCAATGCAGATGACTGCTCAGAGGGTAGCTATATCTGCCCTCATTTACCATTGAGATATAGGACAAGACTGGTTAAGAGGAGACCCTGGATCAATGGGAGAGAAGAGAAAGTAGAGCCATTACCACAAGTGACACCATTGGTTCCTACAGAGACCACTGCGTAGAGTGATGAGATGGAGGAGTTGGACTTCTTTGGGCCCTTCTTATTTATGGCCCTGTCTGATCCTGCTAACTGTGCTTGCACAGTTACCAAGTAGGACTTAGCTCCACTGAGCTCTATATCCTGGTGAATGGCGTGAGACAAACACTTCATTGGTCCAAAATTTGTGACCTATCTCAACAAACATCCCTTCATCCTGGGCTGCAGGACAAACATCCTTGAGGCATCTTGCGTGTACCTCCCCCATCAGCATGCTCCTCTCCTTCAACCCAGGATAGCATGCCAGCTTTTTTTCTGAATCTAGCCTTACAGTAGACCTAATACGGTTTATCTGCAAGCTAGAGGGAATTACATGGGGTGCTTTTTGGAGAATGGCCATGGCAGTGGTTTGCATTAAAGCCCCATCTGACTAGCCCTTAGTCATTATGAAAACCTTAGGAATGTCTCAGTATTTCCAGTTTTCTAACTCAAACTGCACTGGTGCTGTTTATTAGGGGCAGGGTTTGGGTGGGAGGGAGGGAATTGCAATATACAAGTATAACACTTCTGTGAGATGGTTGTTGCACTGTTAGGCATGTGGCTATGAGCTTTGGGATATTTCTGCCTTCCAGCTTATGGACTTTGGCTAGCATTAAAATATTTTGTTGTTGTTGTTGATATCAAGGGTGTCTACCTGAGCCGCAGAATTTCCAACTGGTGTATTCCATTTTTCTTATATTTTATTTTGCCATGGTTTGAATTTACCTGTGTGCTCACACCAGAGACCTTAATCACCCCATGTCAATCCCAATTTATTATTTTATCACTTATTTTTGAAACACACACACACAATCACTAGCTGAAGAAACCTGTAATGAAATACTATTGGCTAACATGTGTTTACGGATGTGTATTTGAGACATATACCAAAGGTTCAAAAACCTATTTCTTTGGACTGTGAATATGTTTCTTTCTCTTTGCTCTTATTTATTTAAGTGCCATACTATACCTTTTACATCCACTGTGTATTTAGTTAAAACATTGGCTGAGAATAATATTTGAATAATTACTTTTGTGAAGCCCTTCATTTCCTTTGCATTATCATTTATGATTTTTGGTTTAGGTATGGACATGGTGTAACACACAACTGAGGATTTGTTTAAAATAAAGTTCTTGCCTTTTTTTGTAAATTGGGAAGAATCTTTATTTTTCTATTTTGATTTGGGTTCTATTTATTTAAATATATGTTCAAAAGTGTTTTGTTTCACATTCAAAAGAGCACAACGTTGGGGGCAGGAAGTGAGAAATGGATGACAGATGAAGTCCAATCAGCTGCTAATGGATGAGAAGAGGCTGGTACATTTTGGTATGTTTAGAAGATTGTGATGAGGTATTCAAATAGTAGTATTTACTAACTACTTTCCATTTTAGCCCAATATTTCTCTACTTCTCTAAGGATATTTCCTGTAATAAAATGTCAACAGTATATCATATTAAGCCAATTCCATGAGTAAAATATTTTTCCTTTCCACCATACTTTTCATCCATGGACTGTCACATCTGGCAGGTACGCTGTGCTCCCCGTAATCTCTTTAAGACCTGATGTTTAAAATGATGCTAAACCGAGGTACCTGGGTGGCTCAGTCAGTTAAGTGTCAGACTCTGGATCTCAGCTCAGGTCTTGATCTCAGGGTTGTAAGTTAAAGCCCCACGTTGGGCTCCCTGCTAGGTGTGAAGCCCACTTAAAGAATAATAAAATGAAAAAATAAGAAAAGTAAGAATAAAATGATGCTAACCCAATAGCCAAACAGAACCCTCCAGAGCACCACTGTTCAGTACAACTTGGTGCAATGATGGAAATTTCTGCTATCTGTGTTGCTTAATATGGGAACAACTAGCTGCTTAAGCTATTAAGCTCTTAAAATGTGGCTAGTGCAACTGATGGACTGAATTTCTAGCTTCATTTAATCTTAATTAATTTAAATAGCCATTTTTGGTTAGTTGCTACTGAATTATACAGCACAGTTTTAGACTTTCAGTCAATCATTGCTTACTGGGGTCTTTGAAAGGAGGCTCATACTTTGCTTATAGGTCATAAGGTATTACTTTTTAGTCACACATTTCACAATTATTTTTGGCATTTTCTGTCTACACCATTCGCTCACTAAGTTAATGTTCTTCTTTAAGTTCTTTATTGCTATTCACCTTCTGATTCCAGAAGCACTTGGTCTGAGCATTGTGAAGCAATGTGGCATTTCCTGGATGATTGTTTTTCAAATACAGTTGTGCCACCCTTTAATATAGCAGAGCAGATGCCAATTTTAGAATGAAAATATGTTTATTTCAATCTATAGGTTTCTATCTGCAGTATAAATAGGCAATTGAAAACTATTACCCTTGAGTAAAGAAACAGATCCTCCTCTATTTTGTTTGGTGAGCTAAAAATGTTTTAAAACACCTCCCAGAGATGGAGAAAGAGTGTTGTTTGAGAATTCTTAGCATATGCTTGGGTGTGAAAGAAGTAGGAATCTGTGGAAAACAAGGGCTGTTGTATTTATGCCATGATATAAGATTAGAAGAACGGTAGTATTTCCTGGTGGAAATGCGTCCCATATCAGTGGGGCTGATCCATTTAAGTTCCCTGATGTTTCCAAACACCCACAAATGGAAAAATGATTAATTCACTTGTCAGAAATGGAGGCGGGAACATACCTTCCTCTGGGCATGTAGAGTCATCCCTCAGAATGACTGATGTGTGTCAGTCTGATTCTGTTGCTTTCTATTTAATGAAGAAAATATACTGATGATTTAATGTTTCACATAGCTATGTGATGGATGTGACCTTAATCTGTACTTTGTGAGAGGACAGCACCAATATATTCTCTTAGATTTAAGAGCCTTTTGGTGAACAGCAGGCCCTTTGGGCCTGTGTATGAGTGTTTGTGTACGTGTATGTGCACACATGCGCATTGGTAGGGGTAGGGGGCGCCAACATACAAACTGGGTTTAAAAGTTTAAAAGGTGGGTGCCGGGGCGCCTGGGTGGCTTAGTCGGTTAAGCGTCCGACTTTCGCTTAGGTCATGATCTCGTGGTTCGTGGGTTCGAGCCCCGCGTCGGGCTCTGTGCTGACTGCCAGCTCAGAGCCTGGAGCCTGTTTCAGAGTCTGTGACTCCCTCTCTCTCTGACCCTCCCCTGCTCATACTGTCTCTCTCTCTCTCCTAGAAATAAATAAAACATAAAAAATAAATAAATAAATAAATAAATAAATAAAAGGTGGGTGCCAATGTATGAGCCCTGGACAGGCTGAAGGTATTTAGTCTGTGGAAAGACAAGCTTAAAGTACAAAATTTGTACTTTTTAAATCCTCAAATATTTAAAGGGTTAAAAAAAAGTGAAGGATAACAGCTGTGCTCTCTAACCTCTGAGGACAGAGGCAAAGGACTAGATTTAAAATTGAGGGTGCAGGGGTGCCCCGGGTGGCTCAGTTGTTTAAGCTTATGACACTTGGTTTCAGCTCAGGCCATAACCTCACAGTTCGTGGGATGGAGCCCTGCGTTGGGCTCTGCACTCACAGCACGGAGCCTGCTTAGGATTCTCTTTCTCCTCTTTCTGCCTCTCCCCTGCGTACGTGCTCACTCTCTCTCAAAATAAATAACTTTAAAAAATCAGTTTGGGTGTCCACTCACACAGCAACCTGTACTAAACTCTTCTCCAGGCTGGCTTAGTGACCTTACACTGAGCCTTCATAAAAGTCACTCTATTTGCTACTTGTTGCATGGGAATGAGTTGTTTCTAGATCAGTATGTGGCTCCTTGAGGGTAGGAATTGTGCCATACCCATGGTAACCGTATGTGACATTTGTTGTCATCATCTCATTTACTACCCCAGAGATGGGTACCTCAGTCTTCCCTCTGGGAACAGTCTTAGAGACTCAGAGTGTATGAAAACTAATGACATCCAATGAAGACATGAAGTCAAGGCCTTTATTATATGGTCGAAAAATCCCAAAAATCTAAAATCAAGGCAACAAGTTTCTGGAAAAATGCTGTAATCATTTGTCTTGGAGGACTGGAATATTTAGGAAACAGTATTTAGATTGGTTTTACTTTCCTTATATTTTATGAAGTATGTTTGTTTGTTTGTTGTTCTGGTGGGACTTTTTGTTTATTTTTTGTGACTGCTACCATCACAAAATATCATAGACTGAATGCCTTGGATAACAAAACTTATTTCCTCACAGCTTTGGAGGCTAGAAGTCCAAGATCAAGGTGTGGTTTCTTCTGAGGCCTTTCTCCGTGGCTTGCTGATGGCCACCTTCTTGTGTCTTGTTATGTCACATGGTCTTTCCCTGGTGCACATGTGTGCATCCCTGATGTCTCTCCGTGTGTCTAAATTTTCTCTTCTTATGAGAACACCAGTCAGATTAGATTAGGGCCCACCCCAATGGCCTCATTTTAACTTAATCACCTCTTTAAAGGCCCTATCTCTAAATACAGTCACTTCCTGACCTGGGGGACACAATGCAACTCATCACACTAAGTATTTTCAAACCTTCAGGCAGTCTTACGCTTAGAGGGGCTGCATACACTTATTGTACAAAAAGGGATATGTTAGAAAATGAAAGGGGCAGGATTGCTAATTGACTGGGACACAAGAACAATGGGTATAAATTGGATCTCTCCTGAGCGACCAAGATGAATGGAGATTTTATGTAAGACAATGAATCCTGGAACCCTGGAGATAATAATAATACCTGAGTCTCAACCTTTGACAAGGGCTGTCAAAGCTATATCTCCACCAAAAAGATGAAAATGTATGTCAGTAATCATGGAAAAATCGTATTTAAGAAAATCCAGTGACTTTGGCTCATTCCAGACCACCTAAAATAGAATCTCTGATGCGGTAGCCTAG